GAGAGAGAGAGAGAGAGAGAGAGAGAGAGAGAGAGAGAGAGAGCATTTCCCTGCAGATGGGTTCCAGCACAAGTCTGAAAGCTTGGAAGACTAAACCCCTAGTCCTCATGATCGATCCAGATTGGATCCTGCAATATTATCCTGGGACACATATAAATTTGCCTTCATTATTGTTGAGAATTTTTCACTCCACCTCTGTTTTTCCCCGTGAAAATGTCTTGAACTTCTAAATATTCCTGGAACTTCCGTGCATGGCTGCACAGTCTTATTTCAAAATTCACAGATATATATATATATATTTGGCTTCATTCATTAACCAGGTGAAGTTTTCTGCTTCACCTCACGCAAGACTTGCTGAACGGGATAAGCTGGTTGGTCAGAAGAGACCACTAAAGATCAGCTGTTTCTAAAAGGCTGCAGCTTGGTGGCTAAAGATTGACAGCATCTGTAAACTCTGCCTCAGAGGGTTTCGAATGCTGATGTATATATATATATATTTGTCTGACAAGGTCAGTATTGACCGGTTGGGGCAAGGAGCAGACAGTCCTATCCTAATCAACCCCAAATCTCTCTTCCTTGTTTTGGAGAGGTTGCATTGCCAAAGCCACTGGTTCACACAACCCAAGTATGCTTAATCATGATTTGTGGAGTAAACTACAGTTGGCTGCATGCAAACACAGCAACATTTTTTTAAAAATCGCTATTTATTATGAACTTTATTTGCTGCTCAGGTCAAACAACGGGGTGATATGCAGCATGAAAACATAAAAAAAATATTACAATCATCCACTGTAAGATAACAAAGCACGTAAAACCAGTGTGCCTACTATCCGTGTCTTACTATCCCCATTTATCTGTATTTACTTCCTTTGTTTATGTTTATGTTCATTTATTTATACCTGCTATCTTGTAAATGTTTGACAAACAAACAAATAAATGTAAAATAAAATAAAGCCATGAACAGTGAGTGTCCACTAGAAGAATTGTCCCAGAGGTTTATTTTAATTTATTTTTAAAAAATTAAGTTCAACCAAGACATTGACTTTGAAATATGGATCGGCAAGATTTTGGATCTGATTCTGTTCTGGTGGTACATTTGCTAGTTTGTGCCTCACTCTTCACAACTCCATGCTTCACAACAGCACGCCAGGACACAAACACACACACAGACAGACAGACACACACATGTCCTCCACTATCTCTTTGAGTCTGTCCACATTTGTGTTTGTTGTGTCAATAACACTATCTAAGCCTCTCATCCTTTGCTGCCCCCTTCTCCTTTTGCCTTCCACCTTTTCCAACACCATAATTAATATTAAAGTAAAGTTAAACTTAAGCAAAGTCTGATGTGCAGCACGACTTAAAACAAAAAGGAAGAGGTTTGCTAGCTGACACTGTTGTATCTGTTTGTATACACTGTATAAAAAACGATTGCATTTGTTAACTACTGAAGAAACTACGTGCTACATTTTTTGGAGGGAGGGTGTCATTTATCTTCACACAAACTCAACCCTGGTTCTATAGAATAGAATAGAATAGAATAGAATAGAATAGAATAGAATAGAATAGAAGGGACCTTGGAGGTCTTCTAGTCCAACCCCTTTCTCAGATTATGTACCATTCCAGACAAATGGCTGTCCAATCTCTTCTTAAAAACTTCCAGTGTTGGAGCATTCACAACTTCTGGAGACAAATTGTTCCACTGATTAATTGTTCTTAACTGTCAAGAAATTCCTCCTTAGTTCTAGGTTGCTTCTCTCCTGGATTAGTTTCCACCCATTGCTTCTTGTCCTGACTTCAGGTGCTCTGGAAAATAGCTTGACTCCCTCTTCATTGGGGCAGCCCCTGAGATATTGGAAGACTGCTATCCTGTCTTCCTTGGTCCTTCTCTTCACTAAGCTAGCCATACCCAATTCCTGCAGCTGTTCTTCATATGTTTTAGCCTCCAGTGTCCCCTAATCATCCTTGTTGCTCTTCTCTGCACTCTTTCTAGAGTCTTAACATCTTTTTTACATCGTGGCAACCAAAACTCAATGCAATACTCATTATATTTGAATCTGCATCAGTTGTATTTAATCTGTTCCAATCAGGTAGTCCTTGACATATGACCTCAATGGAGCCTGCTCATTATGGTCCTAAGTCATCACTGTCGTATATTGACCAGTCCAGTTTCATTATTGTTTTTGTGGTGGTCATTAAATGAATGCTGCAGTCAATAAGCAAAAAGTTAACTCCCAGTTTTCGGCAAAGCCATCGTAGAGCACAGTCATGTGACTGTCGGATGCTATAAATGACCATAAGTCCAGCTATGTTGTCAATGTCCGAAGTTCCAGATGACCATTGGAACTTTGGAACCAGATCATAATTTCATTTTTCTGGGTAAATTATAACTTAACTCAGGTTGCTAAGAGACTAGTTGTAAGTCAAGGACTAAAATGCACTGATTCGTCAGTCAATATGGAAATGATTTGAATGACATGATGGAATAAATTTCATTTTGAAATATCAACGATATTTTACCTTGATGGTCCATATTTGCAGCCCTGGTTTCTGCTCAATGGGTGGAAGGCCCATTTCTCTTTCAACGTCTGTCATCCTTGATCAGATGAAGCTGCAAAAACAAACGAGGGGTAAATATAAAAAAGAATCCTTCAATTGTTTTATTCCCCCACTCTCCTTTAACTGCGGAAAGTACAACACCTTATGCAGGAAGGCCCCCTGGAGGCCTAATTACTTTTATTATCTCAATTTATGTCTCTCTTTTTGTATTCACTCAAGGCAGCTACCACTCAGAAATAGAGAAAAATATAAAATAATTCCCTCTAAAAATGGTGAGCGATCCTATTCAAAGAGACCGGATGAAAAAGGAAAGTTGGATTCCTTTTTTTTTTTTTGTCAGAGAAAAATTTGTGCGTTCAGCACAACTGCTGGACAAAGTGTTCCCCTGGTACAGGAATGAAACAAGAGAGAGAGAGAGAAAGAGAGGGAGGGAGGGAGGAAGGGGGAGAGAGAGAGAGAGAGAGAATATAGAGTTCTTTTGATGTAAGTGGTGGATTAGAAACCAGGAGGGTGTGAGTTCTAGACTTGCCCTAAGCAAGGTGACTTTGAGCCAGTTACTAGGAGACAATGAGTTCTAGTCCCACTTTAGGCATGAAAGCCAGCTGTGTGTCTTTGGGGTCTGGACCAATCATCTGGAGGCTGTGAGTTCTAGTCCCACAGAATGAAATAATGGTGTATCTAATGAAAAGAAAAAACAAGATATTTTCTTCTTTATCTAACAAAACACAACAAGAGAAAATATAAATGGGAAGCAGAAGGAAAAACAAAGAAAAGAAACAGCAGTAGAACAAACATTGCATCTAGAAGTGTTTCTCACACAGTTTATGCATGTGTGCGTATGTATAAATATTTTAAAAAATAATAATTGATGTTTAAATTGGCAGTCTACCAAAGCTGAATCATCAGCGACCTCTTTCCCACCATGTATGACCTTAATGAGGACTAGCGACCTGCATCTTTAGATCCAAATTCCTCAGAATATAAGAACCTGCTAAATTCTTATCTTTGCCCCCAGGCCCTGTAATTGAATCAGCAGCCCTACTCCAGGGTAAATCTTAGGGGTGTATAACTGCTGACAATCAATCGCCCCCTCCCCCGCTTCCATCTTCAAAATGGAGAGGATGAACTTCAGGTTAAAAAGTTGCGCCCTTTTGTGGATTATTTTCCCTGAAGCAGAAAACTGCACTGAAAACAATATTTTGATTCTCTTGTCACCCATTGTTTTACTCTGCTCCACCGTGGGAGTTTTTATTGTACACACTAAACCTCAAACGAAACGACTCCTGTGTTTTCTCCCCTTCTTCCTGAAAACTGACATTTGCAATAAATCCTTCCAATTGTACTCTTTCCTGATATTTCAGTTCAACGGTTTCAAATGTCGGCCGACGAAATCCATCTGGACATATGCAGTCACGGGCTGTGCCCTACCCTTTATGGGTGTGGAAGCACAGGTGGATTCAGCACGTAGCAGCCCAAATCTAGAACGATAACGTCTTTGCATGCTGTGGGAGGTTTTGGGTGGGGTACAGGTAGCCCTCGACTTACGCCCACAATTGATCCCAAAGTTTCGGTTGCGAAGTGAGACATTTAAGTACGTTTTGCCGCATTTTGCAACCTTTCTTGCCACCTTTGTTAAGTGAATGTTAAATTATGAATCAATTAAGTCAACAGAGGTGTTAAATTAGTAACACAGTTATTAAGTGAGTCCTGCTTCCCCATGGACTTCCCCTGGGACACTGCCACTATCATAAATACGAGTCAGTCGGCAAACATTCCGAATTTTGATTTAGTGACCATGCTGCAAAGGTCGTAACTGTGAAAAGGGGTCATAAGTCACTCATTTTCAGTGCTGTTGTAACTTTGAACGGTCACTAAACGAACTATTGTAAGTCGAAGACAACCTTAGTCCTCAACTTGCCAAATTGTCCACCCCCACCAAATAAAAAATGTAAAAAAGAAGGCAATTGCCAGACCATTTCCAAAGGTGAAGAAGAACAGAAGGCAAAAAAAAAAAGTGACACAACATTATATAGATTTTGTTCATCTGATTAAAATGTTGCTTTTCCTAAGCTCCTTGCGGGGGGGCAGAAAAAAGGAACTGTAGGTTAGGGCAACTTGTTTTGGTAGAGGTATATTCAAAACAGGAAATTACCACCAAACAAAGGGCTAAAATAGCAACTTATTTGATTTCCCACTCATCATTTCCATTTGGCATCCAGTCCGTTCAAATAACTAACTTCTAATTATTTCTAGGCACAACTATATTTTTACAGAGACACGCAGTCGTTTCAGAATTAAAGTTCTTGGTCGAAGTGACCGACAGTAATAATCATGTCCGGTTGAATGACTTCAGAAAGTTATCTGTGCCTCTGGGATTCAGGCCACCTCGCCTTTTCTTGATACCGAGATCTATTCTAAAAAGGAGGGCGTCCAATATTCCTCACGGGTGAGAACTGGTCCTCTAAACAAGATCTGGAAATAGGTGATCAAGAATTAGGTTGGTGGAGGAATTTTCTGTCTCAGAGAATTCTGGGAGTTGAAATGCACCCATGCTTACTGGGGAATTCTGGGAGTTCAATGCCATTCATCTCTTAAGTTTGCTGAGTTGAAAAATATTGTCATAAAGTACTGGCGAAGTACCAGTACTTCCCTGGATAGGAAAACACCAAATTCTTTTAAGGTGGGCAAAGAGACTGATTTGTCAAAGCTGAAATCTATGCTTTCCCCAACAGCTTGGAATGACCTCCAGACGCTCAAAAAACAGTGGACTAACTTTGATATTCAGGTTATTTCTAAGGAGCACACCTGGCTGGGAAACTCTGAGAATTGAAGTCCACACACCTTCAAGGTGCTGAAGGTCCTTCAAGGTGCTTGAAGGAAACACTGGTCTACAAGGTCAAATTTCAAACAAACAAGAGTCTTCAAACTTGGCAAGTTTAAGACTTGTGGACTTCAACTCCCACAATTCCTGAGCTAACATGACTGGAGGAGGATTTCTGGGAGTTGAAGCCCACAAGTCTTCAACTTGCCAAGTTTGAAGACCCCTGAAATAGAGGCTTGAGTAGGAAGGATTGCAGTTTTGGTATAAGACATCTGCATATGCCTTATTATCTCATTATAACAGTTACAGAGTTGGAAGGGGCATTGGAGGTCTTCTAGTCCAACCTCCTGCTCAAACAGGAAACCCTGTACCATTTTTTAATTTTATTTATTGTATTTGGTTTGTCAGTTGCTTACAAGATAATAACTACACTGTAACTACATAGCCAAAAAGGCGTTAAGAGTTGTTAACCTAATCTTACGTAACTTTTTCTCTGGTAATATCACACTAATAACTAGAGCATACAAAACATTTGCTAGACCAATACTTGAATACAGCTCATCAGTCTGGAATCCACATTACGTATCTGATATTAGCACAGTTGAGAAAGCCCAGAAATATTTCACAAGAAGAGTTCTCCACTCCTCTACTCGTTGCAGAATACCTTATGCCACCAGACTTGAAATTCTAGACCTAGAAAACCTAGAAGTACGCCACCTTCAGTTCGATCTAAGTATAGTACATAAAATTATATATTGCAACGTCCTATCTGTCAATGAATACTTCAGCTTCAACCATAACAATACAAGAGCATACAATAGATACCAACTACACCAAAATTGATTGCAGGAAATATGACTTCAGCAACAGAGTGGTCAATGTCTGGAATACTCTACCTGACTCTGTGGTTTCTTCCCCAAACCCCAAAAACTTTAACCTTAGACTGTCTACTATTGACCTCACCCCTTTCCTAAGAGGTCTGTAGGGGGCGTGCATAAGCGCACCAACGTGCCTACCGTCCCTGTCCTATTGTTTCTTTTTCTTGTATGTATCCATAACTATGTTTATACTTATACCTGTTATCTTATAATCGCTTGACAAATCAAATAAATAAATAAATAAACAAATAAATAAATAATATAGGTATAAGTAAAAACATAGTTATGAATACAGGGACACACATAAGAAAAATAAAAGAAACAATAGGACAGGGACGGTAGGCACATTGGTGCGCTTATGCACGCCCCCTACAGACCTCTTAGGAAAGGGGTGAGGTCAATAGTAGACAGTCTAAGGTTAAAGTTTTGGGGGTTTGGGGAAGAAACCACAGAGTCAGGTAGAGTATTCCAGACATTGACCACTCTGTTGCTGAAGTTGTATTTCCTACAGCCAAGTTTGGTGCAATTAACCTTGAGTTTGTATCTATTGTTTGCTCTGGTGTTGTTATGGTTGAAGCTGAAGTATTCATTCAGACAAATGGCTGTCCAATCTCTTATTAGAAATCTCTAGTGGGGTTTAGCAAGGAAGAGAGGGCCAACTCATTTACCAAAGCAGCTGTAAGAAGGACAAGAAGCAACCGATGCAAACTAATCAAGGAGAAAACAACCTGCAATTAAGGAGGAGTTTCCGACAGTGAGAACAATTTAATGAACGACTTTGCCTCCAGAAGTTGCGGGAGCTCCAACACTGGAAGTTTTTAAGAAGAGATTGGAGAACCATTTGTCTAAAATGCTATAGGATTTCCTGCCTAAGGTTAGACTAGAAGACCCCCCAGGTCCCTTCCAACTCTGTTCCTGTTATAATGAGATTAAAAACGCACCTACATACATTGTACAAAAGCTGTTTCCCAATCCAATTCTTCAGCCAAAAAAGTGCCAGATTTCTCCTTCAGTCCTTCCCAAAAGAGAAGCTTAAATAGAAAAAAAAATAATCCACCTTTTTTTTTGGGGGGGGGGGGGGAGAAGTAACTCTTTTGGGTTTAATTTTTGAAAATTCTTTTAATTGGTAGTTCCTAATGTGTTTTTTGACTATTGTGTTCTAAGGCTGCATGGATCTGTTTTAATTGTCAGCCCCTTTGAGGGGCAATTGCATAGGAAGTGGTAGCTATAAATACCACATTGGAATAATAATATCAAGGGTAATTATAGTTTAAAAAAAAAACTGGCACCAACATGCCAGATAATAAAACTCCAATGGAGGAAGTGCAATATGTTTGCCATAATTAAAAGCTT